ACAAGAAAAACCCCACACCCACGATCAGGTACGTATCTGCACCTTCCTCTGCAAGGCACCTCAACGTCCAGCTCACCTGACAGACAGACCTCCAGCACCAAATGCCCAGAATCACTCTCCAGACTGACCCATCACTTCTAAGAGGGCAACTCCAAGCCTCTGACATTATCCCTATTTACAGGGGCAGAAATTGAAGTGTTAAGGAACTGACTCTCCTCTGTGGCTCAACAACAGTGACGAAAAGAAGAACCCAAGAGTCCTGGCGCCCAGCACCACACTTTGTTCACTCTTCTGCAACAACCATCCTGTAAATGTGAAAAGATACAAACACTGAAATCTACAGGAAGCAGCTGTAGGGTCAGGATCTCAAAATGGATGGTCTTGTTTTAATCTCTTGTATTTCTCCCAGGCCAGTCAAAACGTTATTATATTCTAAAATTACTAAGATCTTTAACTTTCTTTAGGTCACTTAAGGGACACCACACTGTTTACGCATACTCAAAGAGATTAAAAACCAAGGAGGAAGATTTTTTTTTTCAAGACCCCCAACACGGAAAGTGTCTCCAAGAATTAAAAAGACACCTCCCATTAAAGAGCGTTGAAGACAAATCTAAGGAGGAAGCAGAACACAAATCAATGTCCTACTCTCCACTTTGCAGGACAGTGAAATTTGGAGTAGCTATGGAGAAGAGAGATCCCAGTATGTACTCAGTGGGGAAGATGCAGTGGGAGTTAGGGGGAGTGACACTCCTTGTGTCATTTAAAAACAGAATAGATGAAGACCCTGCAAAAATGTACTGTGCTAGCAGAAGCACAGCCTCTGATGGCTATTTGTGCAGCACTGGGGATGCAAACCACACTGTCTCAGCAATAGCGTGGCCAGCAGGGACAGGGGAAGGGATTTTACTCCTGTACTCATCACTGGTGAGGCTGCACCTCGATGACTGGGTTCAGTTTTGGGCCCCTCACTACAAAAAGGTCATTGAATGACTCGAGCATGTCCAAGTAAGGTCAACAAAGCTGGTGCAGGGTCTGAAGGACATACCTTATGAGGAGCAGCTGAGGGAACTGGGGGGAGTTTAGTCTGGAGAAGAGGTGGCTGAGGGGAGACCTGAAAGGAGGTTGCAGAGAGGTGGGGATGAGTTAACAGAGTAACAAGCCATAGGACAAGAGGGAATGGCCTCAAGCTGCCCAGGGCAGGGTCAGGCTGGCTCTGAGGAAGGATTTCTTTGCAGAAGGGGCTGTTGGGCGTTAGAATAGGCTGCCCAGGGCAGTGGGGGAGTCCCCATCCCTGGAGGGGCTGAAGAGTCGGGTTGACCCAGCGCTGAGGGATCTGGTGAGTTGAGAACGGTCAGTGTAAGGTTAATCGTTGGACTAGATGATCTTCAAGGTCTTTTCCAACCCAGATGATTCTGTGATTCTAGAGTTTGCCTTGGTGCTGACCCCCATTCTCCTCCCACCGTGCCACAGGCCTTCACAGAGGGGCGGCCTCCTGCAAGGGCACATCGAGCTTCTCAAGCCGCTTCAGCCATAACCCAGATGATTCTGTAACTTTGTATCAGTTGTGAGGCAAAGACACAGCTAGAAGTAGCTCCTATCCCCAAGAAAACACACAAAGAGCAAGCATATGCATGACACAGAGGGGAAAAGTGAAGTGACAGGCAAAATAACCTGCTGAGACCACACAACATTGTGGTCCCCAAGCCTTTCTGCTACTCTTCTTTGAGAGCTGCTTTATGAAGCATGACAACACCTACTTGCATATGTCAAGGACCTGGGAACATGACCAGGACTCACAGGGAATTAACTCTTTCTATATGAGTTCAGAGTAGGCCTCCAGAAAAAGGACCTACAAGAAACAAGACACAACCCCGCCAAGAACTGACCCCAAGCAAAGGCAGCACTGACAAAGTGCCTTGGAAAAGCATCCTGCAGCCAGCTCCTAATGCCCTTTTTGGCAGAGAGCACAGCAGGCCTGCAGTGGTCATTCATCATCTGTCCAGGTGAGGCACGAACCGATGGAGCTGCCAGATGTGTTTGGTGCTCCGTCCACTGGGAAGCAGTGGAGATCCAAGGGGAAAATCCAAGTTATCCCTATTCGACAGCAGGCTCTGTTTCAGGGCTGCGTGACTGTATCCTGCTCTCCCGTCTGCTCTCCTCCCTTCCAGCTCAAAACACCGCTTCCCCAGGGAACGTCTGGAAATTTGCACCATGAAGTCTGCACAGCTGAAACATCTGCAGTGCTTACAGCCCCACCATGCACCGCTGCTCTCGATCCTGCCTGTGCAAGGCCAGTGTGTGTTTAGCCACCGACACACAATACAGCCTTCCCCACGTGATCGGTAAGTCACACTGTCAAGGGAAAGGACACTTTTGAGGTTTTTAGGCCATGCAAATATGACAGAAGGGGGTCGTGCTAATTGCTGCCTCTACTGGGAAAAGGTCTTTAAAAAGGGAGATGGAACAATTCCCAGCCATCGTATCAGGAACAAGGGGGAAAGGGGGGAGGAAAAGGACAACTGGGCAGAAGAGCTACAGGGAAACGGATTCTTTTGCTACGCACAGCCAGTTCAAATCCAGTGCTGTCTGTCATGGGCAGAGGCATGAGCACGAGATGTTCCCAGGCCTGAGGGCTGGCAACCCAGTGCAAGTGGAAGTGTTTGCATTATAACCAGCGCGGCCCCAAAATCTGTCACGAGCACACAGACTCAGTCATCATCACACAGCGCTGCCCAGTGCTGTCAGTGTGGCAGCAAAGCTGCAGGCTCAGCTGCTAAGGAGACACTAAGTCCCACTGCACAAAGCTTTTCCAGGAGCCTTGGCAGTGCAGCGGGCCTGAAAGATTGGACTCCCATCTTACCTCAGCACAAATGACTCACTAGCCATCAGCAAGGAGGGAAAAAGTAGTTCAGTTGCTCCCGCCTGCAGATATGTCAGAGTTTGGTCCCTGAAATTTACAAATAAGCAACTCAAGCAACACTAAGTAGCTGTATTTAAGGCTATTGTTCTTTTGGGTTTTTTCCCCCCCTGGAATTTTTTGTTGATTTTGGTTTAGTTTGGTTTTATTTTTTAGAACCAGCAAAGGATTTCTGCCTGACCAGTTCACTCCAACTACTATCAGCTGTTTCTGAACAGGGTAGAAAAGACTCCTCAAGCCAGTCCAGGCATCCAAAAATGTGCCTCTGATGGTGAAGTGCTGAAACAAAAAAGGATCAATACCATGCCAGTCACTCGTGGAGAAGTTTGCAGCCTGCACAGGTCACTGCAGTTTCCCATCTGTCTCAGATATACTTCTCCCAATTATAAAAAACCCCCGAGATTTAACAGGCATGTTTTTCATCACTATCAGCTCAATCTGGTGAAAAACTCAACCTCGCATATTTGTTTTTGCAGCCAGCGGGTGGTGTGGTGCTGCAGAAGCGAGATTTGGGTGAGAACTCCAGGCAGAAATCTGCTCTGGCCGGCTGGTGCGCCAGAAGGAATGCTTCCCATTTAACCTCTTCCATTGCCTCCACTCACAAAGCAGATCAAACACTGCAGAGTTACAAGATACAATTATGCAGTCGAATTATGATGCCAAGGATGGCATATTCACCTTTGTAGCTTGATCAATATTACTTATCAATAGCGAACCGGATCCAAAATGGGAGCTGTCTCTGGAGGGTGGAACTGCCCCTAGCAAGCACTCCCCTCACCTCTGTGCTACATTAAGTACATGGAAGATCTGGCAGGGGCTGGCAATTAGATACACAGCATTCAACTGCTCACAAATTCTCTGCAGATTCCACACAGATTACCTCCACGACACAATCCATTGATCAGAGGTGTATTCCCAGGGCCCACAGTTAATTACACTCCCTGCTGATGGATGAACAGCAAAGCCATCTCTGTGAAAATACACTGGTAGCAGAATGCCAAGCAATGCAATCCTAAACAAAGACAAAAGGGGCTGGGAAGGATTTCAGAGCTTTCAAGGTTAAAGCTGACTACAAAATATACTGGGGTCAGCATGAAGAGGAGACAGACGTGGCAGGAGGGCACTGTCCCGAGTGAAGGGACAGCTCAGCCCGGCTCCCAGCCCTTGTGAGTTTGTCCACTGGCAGGAAGGGGATTATACAACGCTGGGGAGGCAGCCAGGCGTGCTGGGAGGGATGCTGGAGTCTGGAGACACCCCCCCACACTGCACTTACGCTCTCAGCTGCATTCTCATGTCCAGACTTGTCCACTGTGCTCTTGGTTTACAAAGAAAAATGCACTAAGAGACTGAGGCCCAGACTGGGAGGCGAAGGATCCCTCACATCCAAAGCCTTGCTCCAACGGTCTGGGTCACCAGAAGAAATCCCAGCTAAGGCTGTTTCCAAATACCACAAAACCATCTCTGGAGCCTACCCAACAGCTCAGCAAAGAGCCAGCAACACAGACACAGAACACAAGTCAGATGTCAATGTGCCAGACCTCCTCTGGACCCTGCTAGGCAACCCAGGCTATACACAGCCCTGCCAACTCCTCCAGCCTCCAGCTAGCTTGGACAAGCACCTTCCTCTGTCCGTGCCAGCCTTTACTTGTCTTGCCACCCAAGGCCACTGGAGATAAGATTGCAACAACCTACACTTCCCCAAGGTGCAAGCAGGGTGCCTCACCCCTTCTAAGAGCCCCAGAGCAAAAAGGAGTCTAGGGTTGTTAAAATCCCCTAAAAAAAATATAAAAATCCCTTGGCACAGAGAGAAACAACTCCATTATTCTTGTTGGCTGCCTAGTCTTGGGGCTGGTCAGAGAAGCCAGCTGTGACTCCCAGGAGGCAATACCTCCCAACCCAGCCTGCTTATCCCATCAGAGTAAAGAGAAATCTTTAATAAAATGACTTCTCTGCAAGTTTTACCAAAGCTTGCCATGTGTACAGCAACACCAGCATGAGAGATTGCCACTGATATTTCAGCTCATATATTACAGCTATCTGGCAGACATGTGCCTAGCCCCACGCACTCCTGCCTGCACCTTACCTTTCAGGACGCTGAGGACTGCATCACTGCTGTAGCGTTTTCGGGCAGCGTTGGTTGCCACGCAGTGGTAAGCTCCAGCATCACTCTCCTGCACATCCACGATTTGGAGGACACCATTTGGAAGAGTTATAAACCTGAGTGACCAAAAGGAAGAGTGTGAGATACGCCATGCCTTGTCCAAGCTAGTCATCAATTCAAAACACTTTTATCCCTTCTTTTTCACCTGCAGATGTACCATGTACAGACCTTGGTAATCACAGCAGAGAAGGACAGACAAATCTTTGAGCTGCCCAACCGGTGGTTCTTAAAAAGCAGCAGGTACAGACCTATCCGTGGCACTGGAGTTTTCACAACATAGGATCTTGCTTTTGGGAGACCAGTCCAACAAGGTTTTGCTGCTACAAGCCAAATGTATAGTATAAAACAACAACATGTATGCAGATTTGTAGACATCTCCAGATGTAAAACTGCCTTCACGCATACTACATCCAGTTTCACCACTCACTTTTCACAAAGGTTTGGTAGACATCCAAAAAAATACGTTGCAAGGACATGAAGGGACCAACTGATACACAGCTACACCTTCATGGCCCAAAGCAGCCAGGACACAGCTGCCTGAAGCTCTACCATTCCTGGGTTGTGCTGATTGCTTTTGTTCTTCCAAGAGTTTCTGGCTTTCACAAACTGACAAACTTAGAGCCAGGCATTCAGAATTCCCCTGTTTGCCCATGAGGTGCTACTGGGCAGCACTTCCAGGGAGTGAAATGGCTACATGGCTCGTACCATGAACACAATCCTTGCTGCATTATACTGAACAAAGCAGATGATTAGCAATTAGCATAAAAGTGGAGCTGGCTGTCAGTATCTCCATTTTCTGCCTGGATTCCTAGATGGCAGCCTCTTTATTCTTGAATGCAAGGCGCAAAGCCTACGTGATCCTTTTTAATTATATATGAGATCCATTTTTAATTGCAAGCCTCTATAAACAGAGCTGCCTAGCTTTGACAAGCAGCTCTGGGTTATCAGTCTTCATTATGAAGAGGACACATTCAAAGGCAATTGCTGAGGGGAGGGATAGCAGCTATTCCACGAGAACAGCACAAATAAAAGTTATAACCATGATGCCAGTTCTTCCATCCACAAAGATCCCAATAAGTAAACCCAGTAAAGTAAAGCTGTGGTCTTCCAGGTGCAGAGACAGCTGGAGTACCATGAACTAGAGTCATGGAACCAGGAGGATCTTAAGAGATCACCCATGCTGTGTTCAAGCCACGGTCACCAACAGCACACCTGCTCCTGCAAACCTTTATTCTAAGTCTCCAGTAATGGAAATACCTCCCCTGCTCTAAGCAGTCTGAACCAGAGACAAATATCCCTGCTGTGAGTCTAGCATCTATCCTGAACCTCAGTTGCTGCAATGTGAGCTCATCACTTCTTGTTCTCTTCACAGCTGATGAAGAAACAGAAGAGCTAACAGAGCTCCTCCAGTGACCATACTGTCTCTACTGGCACTCCTACAGCCTGATTCCTGGACACAGACTTGCTGAAGCTTCCCATGTACACAAGACCAACTGCCCACATCCTACAACCATGCTGCTGCTCTTGAGAATGACACTTTTCCAAGGATCGATCTCCAGAAACCTCAGAGGAGGTGGTACCTTGAAAGCCCTCATCAAGATGCCTCATCAGGACGCAGGAGAAAGGAGACAAATATTTGCATCCTCTCAGCTCTGTGGAGGGAAAGCCTCCCACTGCGATAATATTTATTTTTGTCGTGCATCTGCTATTTGAGTCTGTAATTAATATCAACATATTTCAAACACCAGGCAAGGCATCTCCCAGCCACAAAAAGACACTCCAATTACATATCACAGATTCACTGAGGCTGGGAAGGACCTCAGAAAATTGTCTATGGTCTTTCCCCTCTCAGAGCAGGGTCAGCTAGACCAGGTTGCTCAGGACCATGTCCACAGTCACGCTCAGCCAACTCACTTGGCTTCTTTTGAGGGCAGAAAACAAGCCACTGTGTTTCTAAAGACAGCAGGAGCTGGAGACAAGGGGGACTGAATGGGGAGACTCAACACATAGCTCAAGATGGTCCCTTCGGCGAGGCCAGCAGTAGAGAGATCAGCATGGCTCTCCCCACGAAGCAAGGGGAGAAGAGAGGCAGGATTTCTCTATCCACAATTTCTCCCAGCTGCTCACAAAGCTTCCAGCTCTCAGCTGCTCACAAAGCCTCCAGCAATTCAGGCTCCCAGCAGCTCAGGACTAGAAAACTCCAGGCTGCCTGAAAGGGCATTCTGCTTCATCCCCAGGCTCTCTGCAAGGAAGTTAAGTTTGCCCAATGATTCAGAGCAGATGGCTGGCACCAGCTTTCCTTCCACACAAAGGGCAGATCTTTTTGTCTGCTCACCTTCATTACAGGTTAAGCAGAAAACAAAAACCAAATGATGGACAGAAGGCCCTGGTAGAAACAGAAATGCTGGAATCTCAGCAGTCTCAGTTTTGCTGTTGACTGGTACAGTGCCTGGATCTCATGACACTGCCTTGAACCGGAGCAAAAGGCAAGCCCCACCGCCCCCCACTTGCAGCAGGTTGCTGGTTAAAGGGCAGCACACTTAGAGCAGGGCCTAAACTACCATGGGTGAAGAAGGCAGCAAGCTGCAAGAGCAACAGGGCACAAACGTGTTGCTTCCCCTCTCTGCTCCTCCCTGAGCAGACTCCACATGAGAGCGCAGACCATTACCAGGGTGACAATTACTAGAGTGGTGCTCAAGAACTGAAATCAAGCACCACTGTCCAAACCCCACAACCCTAAAGCCCAGTGTGCTGTGCTGTGTGTATAGCAGAGAATATTCCAGCATTAACAGTCCAATTCCCTTTATTACTTTCTCCCCAGTAAACTGCTGGCACACCCTCCCTCCTCAGAGCCTTCTGAAGGTACACAAAACAGACTAAAGCACTGGTCCTCAGCACAAGTTAGAAACCTGCAGCTTCACTGCAGACTCAAGCAAATCCTTTTGCTCGCAGCTCAAGAGCCCTGTCCATGAAAATATTAATAAGCCATGTTAAGGCACTCCTGACACACAACAGAAATAAACTCTCCACACAGATAAAACCCTCACTTAGCCAAAATGTGGAAAAAGATACTGTGATTGCAGACCATGTGATCTGTAGGGTATGCGTTTATGTGCAGACCTCCAAAGACTTCCAGTTTCTAGCAAGTACTCATCTTGGCTCTAGAGAAAATAAACAGCACTTTAGAGCCTGGTGTTAAATCCAGCCAGCACCTAAAACAGAGAAGAGACTGTGCCAAGAGATGTAGCACACTCACCAAAGCAATTGCAGTCTAGTGAAATCCTGTAAGCCACCTCTCAGCAGCTGCTGCAGATTTAAGACCATATTTTGTAAAAGTACTTCAAAGCCAGAATTGCAAAATACTTCTGTGCCTTACTCACGTATGAAAATTAGATTTTGTCCTGAACTTCAGCAGGGCGGGAAAAATATTCTGTAAACATCAATAAGCATTTCGCTACCCTTTGGGATATCTAAGTATTTTTAAGCTCAGCCATCAGCACCTTCGAGGTGACATCATGCTAGAACCTGTACTCAAGGGCAATGACCAAAGAGAGTGCCCAAGGGGAAGATCAACTCCAAAAATAAGAAGAAAGAAAAGCAGTATCAGTTTCCCATGATTATTCTATCCCTCTTAAAGGAAATCGTAAGTATTGACGTAGTGGTGTTATCGTTATCTCAAAGGTTGTACCTACAGCCCCAGAGCATGATTTTGTACATGCACCTAACCACGCTATTCTGGAATATGAAATCCTCATCCCGACCTATCCAAATGATTGCATCTTCACAGGCTCATCAGAAGTGTGCACAGGAGGGAGTCCACAGTAATCAGCCTGGCCTGAGATCTGGTCCTTAGGCACGATGGCAGTAAGGGTAACAGAGAGCTCTGGTTGGCAGCCAATGTTTCCTAGAATTCACTTAATTCCTTCGAAAGCTGGTTATATTAAATCCAACAACAACCACCAGACAACAAAAAAAGCAAATCCTTCCGAAAAAGCATATTAGCTAAAACATGATTTAAAAAGTGAGATCTGCAGCCGGAGATTATGCTCTAGCTTTTACAAGGAAAACAATTTTCAGGCTGCCTGTGTTGAAAGCAATCTCCGAGCAAGTAATTTCACAACATCCATCGAGCTGTCTCATTAAAAAGCTATTGCCCTATCTATGGCACACTTCCCGCTGCAATCCCTTCCTTTTTGTTTTTTCTTTCTCTCTTTATTAATTAATTTTCTTCACATTAAAAAGCAACAGCCTCCTATAAACCTTTTGATGCCACACTACAGAATCAAGGATGTAAAGCAGTTATTCTTACAGAAACAGTCACTGCTGCAAAATTATTCCTAAATCTTACCCCACCCCTCTTTCCTTCCTCTCCTCCTGCCTTTTGGCTTAACTTCCCTGGGAGGGAAACAGCTCCTTCTGCAGAACAGAAAATGAGTTTTTAAGAACTAAAGGACAATGCAGTCACTGCTTCCCTCCAGGAGGGACATCTGCAGACCAACTAACAGCCAACTAATGGTTTATCCTTTTCCAGTGCTTGTAACTGACTTTCATTAAGGAAAAGCTATCATGCTGCAGGACTCTTATCTCTCTCCCAAAAAAAGAAAAATCAGAGTCTTTTACTAGATGACCTCTAACCATGGGAATAAAAGAGACGGAAAGACGTCCCAGGTTACTGAGCACACACAGTATGAATGAATTCTAGAAGAATCATTAACTCTGAGACAAAACTGTGTGGAAAAGCAGGGAAGAAAACGACCATCTCTAAAACTAAAATGAAAGAAGAGCCACATCATGGAGTTCGCCCCATACCCCCAGTGCTGTGCCCCCACAGTCAGCTAGAGAAATATTCCTCATGCCAGGCCCCAATTCCCCAAGATTTCTACCTCACTTAATTTCACACAAGAGGACGAGCCAAAGGCAGCCCACACCACAGCCTGCTGTGCCCTGTTCCATACACACACAGACCTTCACAGCACGCAGGTTCTGGGCTGTAAGAACTGGCACAGTTTCAAGTTTCTCTATTCACTTTTATGCTGCTGTCTGTCCTTCTGCATGCTCTTCTTTTTCCTCCAGTGCTCTGGATGGGGAGTAAATGGCTGATGTAAACTGTGCTGAAATCGTGCATCTTTGCATACAGACCTTCCAAGTCACTGGAGAACTGAGGCTCAATTACTTTGTTTATCAGCCAATTTAATTTCCTTGAAGCTGTCTTTTATACATTGAACACTCAATCCGTCACGGCAAAGGTTCCAAAACAAAAGATCAGTAAAAAAAATGGGCTCGGTTGGGTTTGGTTTTGGTTGTTTGTTTTAGTGGTGGGTTTTTTTGGTGGGTTGGACATTTGGGGGAAAGTGAATTTTATTTAGGTGTTTTAAGGACCTGTTTGCATGGGCCCCTTGAACACCTCCTCTTACATCACTTAATTATCGGGTCCAAACCTGGTCTATCATCTCTCTCTTCATACTACCTTTTTATGAAGGATTTCCACATCCTAAATGGTCAGGTTTTGTTCTGCTTTTTCTCAAGCTGACCCAGGAAAGCAATCAGGGATTCACCTGGGTTCTGCTGGAACAGCTTCATTGTCCTTCTCCCAGGTGATGACAGGGGAGGGCAGTCCTTCAATCCGACACTCAAACCGGGCCATGCCATTTTCTTCCACTGTCTGTGACTCTGGCTGTTGGAAAAAGCGTGATAATGCTGGGGAAAGAAGAAGGGAAGTAAAGTTAATAACTCACATGTTTCTGCTGAGAAACGCAAACCTGTTATGATGTATGAGTTAAGAGGAAGGCTTTTCTTTCCTAAAGATAGCCTGAAATGTAATTCCTCACTTTCCCATGCCCTACAGACCCTGAGCAGTCCTGACAACAGTAACTGAAAGGTTTCAATGTGCAAATTTGCTTCTTGCCTCATTTTCTCCTTTAAGGCAACAGTGTGCAAGAAAAGACAGGCAATTAGCTGGTTTCAGCAGTTGCCTCTCTAAACTGCTTCCTTGTCTGCTCACTTGTTCCATTTCGGAAGGACATGCAGAATGAGAAAAAGACGAGAGGAAATGCCACAACCCTGAGAGATGAGTTTCCCCTTACCTTGGAGCGTTCCTGCAGCCACAGGAAATTAAGGCAAGAGGACGAACAAAGCCAGATGTCAAGTTACTTACACAAAACAACTGCCCACAGGCTGTCAATGCTGGAGACTTTGGGAAGAGACCATAAGGGTTATGATCCTCCTTCTCTACAGTGAATAGCTTTGCCAACAAAAACCAACTTCACCCTACTCAAGCAGATAAGATGCAGCCAAGGGGAGAGACACAGCCACCTGGCTAAGAAGAGGAGGATGGATTTCAGACATGCTAGGACATGGGTTGCCTTCCAGGGCTCATCCCCGTCTATATGCTTCTTTCTATACTAGAGAGGCTGAACTTGCTTCAGAGACAAAGCCATAATGTTTAAGATTGCTCTTGGACTGCACCCGTCCCATCGTCCATACACAGCTGCCTCATCTCCCTCCCCTTCCACGCACACAGCAAAACCCCGCTGACTTCAGTGGAGCCGAAATCCTCCCCCTGGGACTGTCAGCATCTGTCCTATCAACAACATAACCCAAAGGCATCTTAGTCACACGGTGGAGTTTTGAATATGCATGCAGGCTCCTTGATACGGACAGAAAGCTTGTATTCTTCTCCACCAGAAGAACTGGCTTCTGCTTTCAATAAGTCTCTGTTAAACTGTCTTTGCTGTTAAACCCACCCTGAAGTACAAATGCATCCAGCAATACTGTAACACAAGTACCAGAAATCCTGAACATGGCACAATAAACATAAATTTCAGCCAGAAAACAGGCTTGACTGCTGGGCCAAGCACAGCACTGTGCTTATAAGGACCCCAACTGACCTCCTGGTCCCCCAATACAATTATGTGCTTATCCCACCACCGCTTCCCAAGAACATCCATCATTGCCTTGGATTTTATAGGACTCCAAAACTGAAGTTTTATTTGCATCACGCACACACACACACACACACACACAAACATACATGCCCACACAGACACACTTTAATGCAGTGTTAGCTTGAGAAAGTATGTACAGTTTTGAAAATTAAATGCTTTTGCATGACCCATTTTAACCTCGGCATATTCTCAGCTGTCATTAGTGTTTTTCTTTAATTTAAATAGTTATCACATGTTTAAAGCAACTCATTGCTCTCCGCAGCAGCTACAGACTTAATTCTCCCACCAGCTGTCCGCCAAGTCTAGTTTTTCAATTCTATACAAATGGCAATGAAAAATGTTTTCCTGGAAAAAATTGAGAAAGACATTAATATGCAAGGCCCCAATTCAGCCAACTGCTTTAGTATTTTCAAACATACACTGCAGAGTAATTTCTACGGATTACAAGATCTTTTAAGCTCATGTTAATAAAACTTGCTGAACCGAGTAGTTTGAAATAAAACCCATCAAATGCCATTGCACATTTGGGATGCACCGTCAAAACAACCTTCTCCAGGCAGCAGAGATCCTTAATGCTCTTTCTTGTTACTCTCTTTTCATCCTACAAGTGTAAATGAGAATACTCTGGCAGGCTCTGAAGGGTCATGTACCTGTAAAGGTCACAATGGGAAGCAGGAATCCTTTTAAAAAGATGAACTCTAAGCATTTCTGCTTCCTCTGCTTCATGTCAGGTAACCTGTTTCTCTTCTGTTCATTACTAAGTGGCATCATCTAAGCTGATATGATGAAGTCCCAAAGTTTACAGCAGCTTTGGACCAGTCTTCAGAGACCAGGGAACCTAACTAGAATGTGGTGTGCATGAACAGCAACGCCACTGTTACCAACAGCATGAAAAAGCTCCATAAATCCCAGCAGGCAGCTCCCGGCTCTCTTAGTTCTCCCTCACGGCTACAGGCACATATATTTTGTACAGTTTGGTAAGAGATGCAGGATGCTTAGCGAGCCAGGCTTACCTCTGAACATTTTGGCATGAAGTGCAAAGGCATACAAAAGGTAACAGTGCCTCCTGGGCTCCCCGGGGTTACCCAGACAATAACCTCTCCCAAAGCAAGGGGCTGCTGGCTATTCCTCCCCATCACCTGCCAGACCTGTGTCTACAATCTTGAAATTCCCTGCTGAGAACCCTTCACCTCCATCCAGCCCCATCTGCCTGCTGTGCTGGGCTCTGGAACGGCTCTTCAAAAGCAAAGAGCCAAGAAATGCACCCGTGACAGATTTCTCATTAGGATGTGGAGGAGCGTGACTGAACAGTGACCCTGATTAGGGAGTGCAGCGTCCCTCTCGCTCTGAGCAGCACGCAGGAACAGCCAGGCTTCCCAAGCAGAGAGAGCCCGCAAAGCTCAAGAGCTCAGCAGGTGCTGGAGGTTCAACCCTGGCAATGCAGAGCAAACTGCATTTTGTCTGTTGGTGACTTCTCATGGTAACTCGGGGTGGGACTCAGAGGCTGAGCAGCTCTGTCATTCCTTTGACAGGATCAGGATAGGGATAGTGGGGATCAGTGAGGACAGGCTGAAAAAAATCACCTCTTCAAGCTCTGAAAGAAGCAACCTGTAGCCTCCCCAGTGAAGGAGAGGATAGGGAACATGAACAGGGCTCTTCTGTGCAGAGAAAGCAACACCAAAACAAGGTAAGAACAGTGAGAAGCTTTCTTTGAGCAGGACTGAACAAGAACCCTGGATCTCAGCACTGGCAAGGCTCAGGCAGACACGGACTTGCTGGCCAGGCTCATTGCTGCTCCAGGCATCCTCTGCATCAGCTTGAGGCCAAGACCACAGCACTCTGTGTTCCTCCTCTCTTATCCCAAGGGGTACCAGGGTGGAACAGGGGAGGCAGAACACGTCCAGCACCTATAGCATGACCCAACCTAGGCTCAGAGCCATGCTGCAAACAGCTGGCGCTGGGAGGAAAGAAAAGAATCGGCCAGTGCAAGGCAAGCGGGCTGTGGAAGGAACGGACTGGAAAGCAGATCCTGCTACTCTGACGCACTGCACAGAAGTGCATGCGGGTCACAGCGAGCACAAGACAGGCTCCAACACACTGCTCACCCTAGGGCCACAGAGATCCTTAGGAGGGGCTGCTCTCCTGCCAGAAAGACCTTGTGATGGGACTACTGCAGAAGCGCTGCAAGTGAGAGGCTTTCACGTAGGGAGGAAGGGAAAGAAGATACTTGAGGGGAAAAAGGAAAAGAAAGACAATAGATACATACTCGACATTATTTTCAACTCCTCAGCTAGGGTTTAGCTTGCAAAGCCATCCCGTGCCACAAAACATCTCCCAGCTCTGTTGCACTGATTAACTGAACACCTTAATAGGCCACTCAGTAAAAATTACCCACTGCAGGTGAGAAGGTGAAGAGCATTACAGCAAATTGCCCTCAGCAACATGCCAAAGCACAAGGCTCTGCACCTTCAGGAATGGAGCATGCAGCTCCCCCCCCCCCCCCCCC